GGCTGATACTTTTCTTGACATTTGGGCTGAGCTTAGTAAATAGTGTTAACTGGTTCAGGGCCACACAGCAAGTCAGTGGTAGAACTCAGATTAGAGCTCACACTCTAGCCTTCTAGAAAAAAAGTCATTTGCCCTATGAAGAGTTTGGAATTTATGATCACAGTCACTCCACATAAATGTCCAAAGGACTGGATTAATTAGAGGTAAAAACAAGGCCTTGGCTCATTGGATTTTACTACAAGAGTCTTAGAATTCTAATATAGTCTTACATTAGAATCCATTTTTTTTAGTGGAAGCCATATCAGCAAAAATGCTGGTATGGTAAGCTTAAAACTGTCCCCCAAAGATGCCCACACCTAGGACTTGTGACTGTGTTGCCTTACATGGTAGAAGGGACTTTGCAGATGTGATTAAGATAAAAATCTTGAGATGAGAAGATTTTCCTGGACTATACAAGTCATGTAGTCAGAAGGGACCATTCCCTGAAGAAGGATATCATCTTGATACAGTGAACTGTGAGCAAAAAAAGTGAAGACCCTCAACGAGATGGATTGATACCGTGGCTATAATGATGGACTCAGGCATAGCAAAGATTGTGAGGATGGCGCACACTGGGCAGTGCTTCGTTCTGTTGTACATAGGGTTGCTATGAGTCAGAGCCAATGTGATGGCACCAAAGAACAACAACATACAAGTAGGCCAAATGTAATCACAACAATTACTGTAAGGAAAACAACAAAGAATTAAAATCAGTAGGAAGGGATGTGATGATGGAAGCAGGAGGTTGGAGTAATACAAGGAAGGGACCATGAGCCAAGGAATGCAGGTGGCCTCAAGAATCTGGAAAAAGCAAGGAAATGGATTCTCCCTTCAGAGCCTCCAGAAGGAACCAGCCCTGCCAACACCTTACTTTTAGCCCTACAAGACCCAATTTGGGCTTCTGACCTCCAGAACTGCAAAATAATAAATTAGTGTTTTAAGCCATGAAGTTTCTGGTACTTTGTTCAAACAGCAAAAGGAAACTAATGCAGCTGGGTAGGTGTGCTCATGGATTCACAGGGCTTAGAAAAAACCACTTAAGTGCTCAACAACATTACTTTCTCCTCAGAATGAAAGATAGATTGCTAATACCAGGCTTTGAAAATCTCTTACATCTTACTACAGGGAACAGCTTTCATCTCCCTCATGTCTCCTCAGTACCTCATTTCCATTGGATCAGCCAGTGCTCCCCTACATTCACCAAACACATTAGATGCTGGAACCCTTAATCTTACCCTACAGCCTATAGACAATGGCTCTGAGGTAAATTACTGACAGACTTGCCTGGTGAGAAGGCTGTGAGACAGACTTCATGAAGGAAAGATATTTGGTTGTTAGAGTAAGTAGAATGAGTATGGAAAGATCAAAGAGAAAGTGGACAAGACCATGGATGAAAAGTATGAGCAGTGAGCATACTCTCACCTTTCCCCTCTCAGGCCCTGAAAAGTCTCCCCAGTATTGTTCACCTTGCTCTATGTCTGTATGTAACCAGAAAGCTACCTGCTGAATGAACGGGAGTGACACTTTCCCTACTATTTTCTAACCAAATCCGTTCTTTGGGGGTAATTGAAGAGCCTGGTGTGTTTATCACCTTGCTAGGGAATTGGCTCATTACTCAGAAAGAAAATCTTGGCAAATAAGTGATGACTGAAAATTTTTCAGAAAACTTTATTTGCGATCAGGGAGATTTTGTTTGTTTGTTTGTTTAACATAAAGCAATTAATATTTATTTCCTCAGGAAAAGATGAGAAGGAAACAAGAGGCATTAGGAGAATAAAAGATTAAAACAAAATGGAAAAATATACATGATATAAAAAGTTCAAATGTGGAAAATCATGGCATTTATCTATATTGCAAATATCTTTTTTTTTTATTTTTTTTTTTTTGCAGTGTTCCCTTCCCTCCCCTCCCACCCCTGCTAACCAATAAAGAAAGATTCCTTCCATATACAAATCTTTCCTTGAATTTTTACAATAATGAACTAATACAATATTTGTCCTTCTGTTTTTGACGTATTTCACTCAGCATAATGTTCTCCAAGTTTATCCATATTATGCGGTGTTTTGCAGATTCTACATCATTCTTTAGTGTTGCATAGTATTCTATTGTGTGTATGTACTATAGTTTAGTTATCCATTCTTCTGTTGGTGAGTACTTAGGTTGTTTCCATCTTTTGGCTATTGTAAATAGTGCTGGAATGAACATGGATGCACATGTATCTGTTCTTGTCCTGGCTCTCACTTCTTTAGGACATGTACCTAGTTATGGGATTCTGGGTCAAATGGTATTTCTAATTCCAACTTCTTAAGGAATCACCATACTGCTTTCCACAGTGGTTATATCATTTAACAGTCCCACCAACAGTGTATGAGAGTCTCAATCTCTCCACATCCTCATCAGCATTTGTCATTGTTTTCTGTTTTATTGAACTTTGCTAAGGGCAAAGTGCTGGGGCAAGATGGCATCTCATTGTTCTTGATTTGTATCTGCCTAATGGGAGCTCTCCAGCCACTTCTTGGAAGGAAGATTGGGCAATCCTACTTCCATAGTGATACTGCCTCGGAAACCCAAGGAGGGGTTGCTATGAGTCGGGGTCGACTTCGACGGCACATAACAACAACAACAACAAACGGGAGCTCTGGTAGCGAAGTGCCTAAGGCACTTGACTGCTAACCAGAAGGCTGGCGGTTCAAACCCACCAGCCACTCCTTAGAAGGAAGATGGGCAATCTACTTCCGTAGTGATACAGCCTCAGAAACCCAAGGAGGGGTAGCTATGAGTTGGGGTTGACTCGATGGCACATTACAACAGCAACAACAATGGCTAATAATTATGAGCACTTCTTCATATACTTGTTGGCCACCTGAATATCCTCTTTGGTGAAGTGTCTATTCATGTCTTCTGCCCATTTTTAAATTGGATTATTTGTCTTTTTGTTACTGAGGTGTTGGTGTTTTCTATAAATTCTAGAGATAAGTCCCTTGTCAAATATGTCATTGCCAAATATTTGTTTCCAGTCTGTAGGTTCTCTTTTCAATCTTTTGGAGAACTCTTTTGAAGCACATAAAAATTAATTTTTAGAAGGTCCCATTCATCTAGTTTATCTTCTGCTATTTGTGTATTTTGGGTTATGCTTGAGAGTCTATTTATGCCACAAATTAGGGGCCCTAAATTTCCCCCTATTTTTTCCTTGAGGAACTTTATAGTTTTGTTTCACATATTTAAGTCTTTGATCCAACTGGAGTTAGTTTTTGTGTATGGTGTGAGGTATAGATCTTGTTTCATTTTTCTGCAAATTGATACCCAGTTTTGCCAGTTTCATTTGTTAAAGAGACCATATCTTCTCCATTTAATGGATTTCTGCCCTTATTCAAAAATCAGCTGACCATAGGTTGATGAATCTTTCTGGGTTCTCAATTCTGTTCCACTGGTGACCAGTGTGATTTTTTTTTTTTTTTTTTTTAATTTTAGGATCATATTTTAAAATTTCAGACTCCTTATGAATAGAACTTTAGAGTGGTTTTGATCTTTACTATGGCTAATACAGGAGCTCTGGTAGCATAGTGGCTAAAGCACTTGACTGCTAACCAGAAGGCTGGCAGTTCAAACCCACCAGCCACTCCTTGGAAGGAAGGTTGGGCAATCCTACTTCCGTAGTGATACTGCCTCAGAAACCCAAGGAGGGGTCGCTATGAGTCGGGGCCGACTCGACGGCACGTAACAACAACAACAACAATGGCTAATATAATCTAATTTGTATAAAACCATAATTTCTAAGGTAAGGACCACCACTGTTTCTGAGTATAAATGCCTAATAAATGTGACTTTGAAGCATAGTACTTCTCTTAAGAATTTAAATGGAACTTAGTCAAAGTACTTCTACTACACCTAGTACACAGTGAGTATTCAGCAAATACTTTATCACTTATTCATTTCCATCTAGACCTGAATTTCCTTATGTATAGAAGAAGATGATGCCTCTAAAAGTTTGAAGTGATGTCCAATTTTAATTGAGGACAATGATGTTCTTTCTTTATTCACCAATTGGTTACATCTAGATTTCTAGCAACTAATAAGATGTACTTTCTTTTAGTCAAGTATAAGCCAAGTGGATAGATACTTCAGGCAAGGAAAGAGTTTCTTTTTCTCAAACCCTAGAGCATTGTTCTCCGAATTTTTCTTCAGTTTTACATTTCTATCAGTAAGAATTTCTTGACCAAATATCTCCAACACATGCATGATTATTTATTTATAAATTGTATAGGAGCTCTGGTAGCGTAGTGCCTAAAGCACTTGATGGCTAACCAGAAGGCTGGCGGTTCAAACCCACCAGCTACTCCTCAGAAGGAAGGTTGGACATTCCTACTTCCATAGTGATACTGCCTCGGAAACCCAAGGAGGGGTCACTATGAGTCGGGGCCAACTTGATGGCAAATAACAACAACAACATAATCTATGTAAGTAATAAAAATTGAAGTTCTCATATTTTCTTCCCTTACCTCAATGGGTGTAGACCATGGCTGGAAGGATGCACCACTTGCTTTTGGAAGGATGAATGGGAACAAGGGTCTCCAGTGTCAGATCACTGATTACATGTGACCCCAACTCACCCATTGGCTCACTCTCTTCAATTAAATCCATCAAAAGCAACAAAGCTTAAGCTTGTTTAATTTAAGAAGAAATTATGATTCAATGATTGAATGATGATTTAAAAGACTTTATTTCCAGCAGAACCAGCTTTTTATGCTAAAGGCTGTATTTCATTCCAAATGAAAAGAGCTAGACTACTGATTGTATTGTAGGATAAAGAGAAAGGTGATAAAGCTGCAACATATCCTTGAAAAAGTCAAAAGTGGTATGGTAAGGAAGAGGAGAGTTTTATCTCACAAAGCCATAAACACCAAACAACTTAATCTTCAATTCCAGAAAATCAGCAGTCATCAACACAGCATGGAAAATATTTAAGATTTGTGATAATAACAGGTGCTGCAGTGGCACTCCGTGTGGTTCTCCACTTTGGCATTTCCCATTACTGTGGACTAAAAAAGAAGAAAATACATATATATGAGCTCTTGTTGCATAGTGCCTAAGGCACTTGATTGCTAACCAGAAGGCTGGCAGTTGAAACCCACCAGCCACTCCTCAGAAGGAAGGTTGGGCAATCTACTTCTGTAGAGATACCACCTTGGAAACCCAAAGAGGGGTCACTATGAGTCAGAACTGACTAGGTGGCAGTGAGTTTGGTTTTTTATTTATGCAAAATTAAATGCATATATATGCAAATATGTATATGCAAAATATCTCTATGTAGCCATAGGAACTAAGTAGATGCCCAGTGCATTTATATATTCTCCGTCTTATGTGCTATTTTCACTCTAAAAGGATAGGTTTGCATTATATAAATATGGTCTCTCCTAAACCCCCTCACCTCTACCTCATTTTCTTCATTCTGAATAAACCAACCTATACCCACAATACTGCTGACTCTATTAATTAAAAGGAACAAATGCAGCCCCTTCCTATCCTAATGCCCATCAAAGATGGTTCACCTTTGGCATTAAAACCCATGGATGTGCTTTGTGGGTATGTCTCTGATTTAAGCTGTTTGAAAGCTTCTGAGACCATATAAGTTCTCACCTTGATAAATGCTTTGGCCACACAGCATGTGGCCTCTGAGGTGATGTTCTTTGGAACTAACATTGTCTTCATGGACCTTGCTGGAGTAGGATATGCTCTAGAGAAGCAGCAACCCATGCACTGATAAATTGGGGCACCCATCCTGGAGAAGTATTTGTTTTCCTTTAGCTTGCATTCAGGGCATCCTATCATTAAAAAGGCAAAGGGTAAAATAAGCCAGAGAGGATTCAAGAAGAAACTAGAAATATTTCCTTATGTATAGAATAATAAATGTTCTTTTTTCCCCTGGAAAATATATATATATTTTTTTTTTTGGTAAGTTAATCTTCATACATAATATCTATTTGTACTGATTACAGTTATTTACATGAGAAAGCAATGTTTGAAGATATGCATGAGAAATCACAGTTTTAGTAGTTCCTCTCTCCTCAAGTGTGCATTCTGTATCTCAATGCTATAGTATGCCTGGAGGAAACACAACACTTGACAGATGCAAACACTAAACCCATCTGAGAGGAGAATTTTGCCCAGAGGTAAAATATTCTCCCTCTTGGTTTGTGCTGAGTTCCCCCCCCCCATAGAAATTCTACATATTTACAGAGAAAAATACGTCAGAATTCAGAATGCTCAGTGTATGCAGAGATCCTGATATTAGATCTGGCAGCTGCACTTGGGATTTGGGATTGCAATATTACCACTTATCTAGAAAAAAAACCTAACCAACAGTGGTTCACAATTTCATAGCAGATGGAATTATACCAGCTACTATATGTGATTTTTTTTTTCAAACAATACAGCAAAACAAATTTACTACATAAAATGGTTTTGTTTTTCTCACTTGTTAAGTGATATGAAAATTCATCTACAACACGAAAGTTAAAATCTTCTCAAATCTTTTGGGAGAAATGTAAAAAAAGAAAGAGTAACTGAATACGAAGCATTTTCTGCTTGTAAAACTCAGATAAAGAATAATAAAAAATCTATTTCAGATGAAAATGTACAAGCTGCTATTTAAATGGACATGTGAGGATCATTCACTCTACATTTTCTGAAACTTACTGAATTTTATGTTCACAATCTACAAGTGCCTAAATCTACATCTAGCAGGCAAAGATTTATTATCATGTTTGAAAAGAAGATGGAAATGTAATTAATGAAGTTATTCATGTACATCTAGAAATGTGTGCTGTTCTTATTACTACAAACCAAATTTGGTCACGCACCCTGCATTGCAAACTCTCCATCAGGAAAGGAATGGAGGAGATGAAGAAACACAGACAATATGACCAAAATGACAGCTGCATATTTTCTGTAGTAATCCATGGTTCGTTCTCCTGCCAAACAGACATGGGGAAAAAGAAAGAAAAATTAGAATACCAGTCACAACAGCTAGTAGCTTTAACATTACTGCAAGTAATAGTAATCCCTATCGTGATCCTTCTCCTTTTGTTGTTGTTGTTATGTGCCATCGAGACCGACCGACTCATAGCGACCCCTCCTTGGGTTTCAGAGGCAGTATCACTACGGAAGTAGATTGCCCCATATACCTTACCCATTACCGTTGAGTAGACTCCGCCTCCTGCTTGTGACTCCATGAGTGTCAGAATAGAACTTTGCTCCATAGGATTTACAACCTTTTAGAAGCAGATCACCAGTCTTTTCTACTGAGGTGTCTCTGAATGACTTCAAACTGCCAATCTTTTGGTTAGTAGCTGAACACATTATTTGGGACCACTCAGGACCCAATATACTCTAAAGCCATGTAAATGAAAAAAAGAAAAATTCACTGGCCATCTCTTTTCAGGAAGAAGTAGGAAGGTAAATCTTCCTAGACCACTTGGATTGGGCTTAATGATAACAACAATAAATTCTGTCTTTAAATATATTATCTTGTTAAGCAGACTCAACAAGGAAATGAAGCTGGATAATACCAAAGATATATTAGATAAATAGATAGTTGACAGATAGATAGATAGATAGATAGGTGATAGATGACGTGGCGTGACGTGACGTGACGTGACGTGACATGACGTGACACAAAAAGATATACAAGCATATGAGCCTCCCCTTCCAATTTCCAGGTTGGAGACAGAAGGAAGGAAAAGAAAGTGTCTCACCTGCTTTTTATTCAGTGTTGGTAGGTGAGCTCTAAGTCTCATTGTCGATATGCAATAATAGTAAATGCTGACCCAACAAGGTGGCAGGGGTAGAAAGCCCAGAATGTTGATCAAGGTTTTCTTTTTTTCTCCTTTTATTTATTTTATTTTTTTTATTGTGATTTGGGTGAAGATTTACAGAGCAAATTCACTTTCCATACAGCAGTTCACATACACTTTGTCTCATGACATTGACCACATTTTACCACAATGCTACAGCTCCCCTCCCACTTCCTCCCCATAGTTACCTCTTCCCAGTGTCCATCCCTCCATGCACTCCTGCCCCCTGAGCTGTCTCCCTGTGCA